AACAGAAGAAGATATCCCACAGTGTCCAGATAACCATCCCTGGGACACGACACACGTATCGAGAATCTGAACAAGGAGAACTACGACACATGGAAGATTCAAGCGGCGGCTCTCCTAGTAAGAAACGACACGTGGGAATACGTAAGCGGCCAGAAGCCAAAACCCCAAGTTGATACAACAACCACAGCAGGAAAAATCGCTCTGGAAGAAACCTCACGACAAATTTGGGATAAACTCGAATCCATTTATGCCTCAAAAGGACCCGCTCGAAAATCATCCTTATTAAAACAACTATCACAGAAGAAGATGAACGAAGGAGATGACGTACGAGATCACCTTTCACCAGAGAGCTAAAGAATCGGAATGCCTCAGGAGCATTTTACACAAATAATCAGAGCACTCAGGGAACTTCTAAGAAAAAGTACACGCGAAACGATGAGAAATCTAAACCATCGAAATGGAACTCCAACATGAAATGCCAATATTGTAAAATGAAAGGCCATGTAATCGCAGAATGCCGAAAGAAGAAGAAGTCTGAAAACAGTGGAAACAATCATGAGGAATGCACATTCGTAGCTCAAACAAATCAGCCTACAAACATGTGGTGCCTCGATAGTGGAGCGACTTCACACCTATGCAAAGATAAATCATTATTTACAAATATCCAAAAAATACATAGTGGAATACGGATGGCAGACAGTACAACTACACCCATCCGAGCCATTGGAAATGTCAAGATATTTGCAAATTCAGGTAACACTTCGAAATCAGTTCTTTTAACTAATGCTCTGCATGTTCCAGATTTGCACACATATCTATTATCTGTCGCAAAGCTAGTGGACAAGGACCACACTGTAACTTTCCACCGACAAGGTGCTGTTATCAAGGACGAACAAGGCAACGTCAAGCTGCAGATCAAACGCAAGGGAGATCTATTCTACTTGGATCAAAACGCTCAGCAAGCCAAATCCGCTATACAAACCAAATCTCAAGCTGAAAACTGGCACCGACGCCTCGGTCACGTCAATTTTCAAGATGTCAAGTTCCTCGTCAACGAGAGATATATCAAAGGACCAAACGTCGAATTCCAGAACAATCCACCATGCAAGACGTGCATCATGGGGAAATTAACTCGTCTACCTTTTCCGAAACACTCGGAAACATTGACCACACCCCTAGGCATAGTTCACACCGACTTATGCGGACCGATGCGAGTTTCAT